CAGTTGGGGGCAACCAGGCCTGCAGGGGAGGGCAGTTGGGGGCGATCGGGCCAGCAGAGGAGCAGTTAGGTGTCGATCAGGTTTGGCAGGGGAGTGGTTAGGAGGTGATCAGGCTGACAGGCAGAAGTGATTAGGGGAAATCAGGCAGGCAGTCAGGCAGGCAAGTGGTTGGGAGCCAGCAGTCCCGGATTGTGAGAGGGATGTCCGACTGCCGGTTTAGGCCTGATCCCACAGGAATCGGGCCTAAATCGGCAGTCGGACATCCCCCGAGGGAGTCCCAGATTGGAGAGGTGCAGGCTGGGCTGAGAGACCCCCCCCCCCAGTGCATGAATTTTGTGCACTAGGCCTCTAGTAATAATATAGTATCTTAAACTTTACAGAAGACTCTCACATGTATTACTTCACTTGATCTCCACCTTATCTTAATAAATAGCTAGTATATCACTGCAATCATTTTAAGAGGAGAAAGCTAAAGTTCTAAGCCCGTGGTTGGCAAACTGTGGCTCGCGAGCCACATGCATCTCTTTGCCCCTTGAGTGTGGCTCTTCCTAAGCCTTAGGAGTACTCTAATTAAGTTAATAACAATGTACCTATCTATATAGTTTAAGTTTAAAAAATGTGGCTCTCAAAAGAAATTTCAATCGTTGTACTGTTGATATTTGGCTCTGTTGACTAATGAGTTTGCCGACCACTGTTCTAAGCAGTTAGTTACTTTATCAAGTAGGAGCAGTGACTGAAAGTGGAATTTCTGATTCTAAGAGTAAAGTCTGACTATAAAGTCCTATATGTATCTTTTATATTTCTGTACAACAAATAGAGACATAATATGATCTAAGTTGAAACAAAAAGTTTGAAATATACTAGATCTAGATGTTGAGTTGTTCATACATTTAAAATCAGTGATAATAAACTGCTACAAAAACCCAGGCAATTTGAGCTCCATTAATAGAGGTGTAGTGTCTAGGCTAAGGGGAATATAGTCACATGATAGTCTGTACTGATCAGGTTACATGTCTAGTATTGGGTTATGTGTTGATGCACTGTATTTGAGAGGCATCATAGGGTGCTGGTCAATGACTACTTTGAAAAACAATAAATGTCCAATACTAAGACTGCATATCTATATGTCATCAATATTAAATAGAAAAAAAAATTTAGTAAGCATGAAGTTGACCTCTTACAACTCTTTCAATTATAAACTTTCTCAATGCTATACATCTTTGATAATTCTCTCCCAATCACTTTCTAACTCACATATTTACACAGCAAAGTAATAACTCAAAAATTTATCTTTTGGGTGAATATCCTTCACACTTTGGTTCTTAGGACTGGGATGTAAATTTACTTACGACTATTTTTATCTTAAATATAGTTTGTGCAAAAGAGATGTTATAGTCTGTAATCAGTTTCAGAGACAAAGAGGTGAGAAATATGTATTAATATGGTTTGGTGATGCCAGCATGAACTTATAATGACTCAGATTTCAGTATCTGGGTGTTTTTTGTATGACTTCCAGGGTAAAAAAAAATGTTCCAATTATGTTTATTTTAACAGCTTAAAAATGTTTTTGTTTTATAAATATTTCACCAAATACACTCATTTGATTTATAGGCAATGTTGCAGTTGCATTTTTATATTATAAGAGTATTGGTCCCTTGTTTTCATCGTCTGACAACTTCTTATTGGAACCTCAAAGTTATGATCATTCTGAAGAGGAGAAAAGAGTCATCTCTTCAATAATTTCCGTCTCAATTAGCTCAAACCCACCCACATTGTATGAACTTGAAAAAATAACATTTACATTAAGACATATAAAGGTAAGTTGTGACTGGTGACTTGATTGTGATTGTGAAACATTCAAATAAGTGGACATCTGTACTGTGTCACTTTAATTATATGTAAGTTCTTGAGTATAAAAATACAAATTCAAAATTAAAAGTGTAAAGTGGTTACAACTAATTTTCTATATATTTTTATACTTCCAATGTCCTTTAAACTGCCTAATAAAAACCCAAAAAACTAACATATTTGATTCTCCAAATTTAAGCTATATTTTAGTTTTAGTTTTAAGGACATATATCATTCATTATGGAAGTCTCTGTACCTTTAAGGAATGAATTATAAAAATGTATCAGTGTCAAAGAGATAAATATTACTTGTTTAATGAAGGCAATGTTTGGTTAGTAATTATCATTTAAAATAATGTTTGTGCAGATTTGGTACTGATTAGAACAAAATCACAACGAAGTTTATAATATTTCAGAAAGAAATTAGCTGAGACCATTTTACTCTGTTATTGTTATTCTAAATCTTTTTTCAAATTCATATGTAATTGAAACAATACAATAAAAAAAACATGATTAGAAATAATCAAGTACTTAGTTTTTTTATATACCTAAAAATGAATGGGGAAACACAAAGTCATAGATTGCTGCCTTTTTACAGTTTCTTCGGCTCTCAGTAGAATTTCAGCCCTGGAACAAGATTAAAGGACCACTAATGCTCCATTTGGAGAGCCTTGAAGTTGGCCAATTACATTGACATGTTTATGGGAGAGGGAAAGGACTAAAAGAACATATATGCTTGCCCACAATACAAATGTGTCACTATAAATAAAGATATCTAATGTGGAGAGAAACTAAGTGTAGGAAAGTGGAAGAAAATAGCTCACACCTAAACATCGGTAGGCATTATGTTGAGGGAGATAGAAGGTGTGAAATGTTGTATGAACAGAAACTAAACAGATATTTTGAGATGCTAAATGCAAACGACCCTTTTGACACCAGAAACTAAACACGGTTCTTTTACGTAATCTGATGGTGTTTCTACAGTTTTGTTGGAGGAATGTTTTGGCAGGTGAAAAGATGCCCGGGACAACCTACTTCAATCTCTTTGACACAGCAACAAAACAAATCACACATTTCCACAAAAATTCTTCATTATAATTAATGGAAAAATTCTATTGTTCTAATCTGCCACTGTTATCAAAACTTTTTTTTCACCCAAAGTAATTATCATAATGAAATTTCATCACTTTTCTCTGACAACACACCTACTTATGCATGGTTCCTTGTCTCTAATAATAAAACTTTGATCCTATTTTTTTTTCTGAGAAAGTACAAGTTATACATAACACCTTTAGTTTTCTGATTCCCTGAAAATTTACTCGCAACTTTACCAATGAGTATATACTTCTCCATTGCCTCAGAGGAATATTAGTAATAGTTGTCATAAAAATATTATCCTTATTCTAAGTTACTTTTTAAATAACTCAGTTGATTCTTACAATAGTCCTGTGAGATATGTACTATTATCTCCATCTTGTGAATAAGAAACGAAACTCTGAGAAATTAAATAATTTGCCTGTGGTCACTCAATAACCATCTTGTAGAAATAAGTTTTATACCCATAGTCCTCCTCCATAATCCATGTTTTCAGGAGTTGTAATACTCTTCTGCCCAGTGCTGTTCTCTGAAACCCTCCCCTACCGGCCTCTCAAGAAATTATATTTCATTCATGATTTATTCTTCCCTGGATATCTCCACATTGGTGCCAGTGTCTCCACTAACAAATAGGCTCAAGTTTCTGGCTTCCTACCCAAAAGGGACCACACTCTCAGTGTCTCTGTATCTCCTTCATCCAAACTCAGTAACACCTCTTATTTTAAGTTTCTAAAATAGGTATTATCAATTGACTTTGATCTACGGAAAATTTGGATTTTGTTTTCCTGCACACAACTTCCCCTGTGATCTACATACTCCCACAACTATCCATACTCCCATGCTTAGATCAAATTTTAGGTCAAATCACTTTTTAATGTGCATATTATCATAATTTAGTGTGTATTGTTCACAATCGAATCATGAGCATGAAACATCTTTCAAGTGTTAGTACATTCCTCTAATTTAGCTGGCTTAGATTTCTATTTAACCACCACTAAGTTGTACCCAAACTTTCTGACAATACTCTATATCTCCTCGCAAAATGTTTAAACACGTAAGATTACCTACCAGCTAATTTGATATCCTAGAGACATCCTTCCTCAGCCTCTGTAAACTTGATCTTATCTGGACAGTTTGCTCTTTGGCCTGGACATGGCTTTCACCATCATCCTGAACATGCAACTCACCTGTCTCCTGTATCAGATTCAATGTTTCCCTGGGCCAGTGTTCCCTCTTCCTTAGTTTATTTACACATATAATGAATATTCTTCAGTGGCTCTTGAGAAAAGAATATTGAGGTATATTATCATTACACTTTGATAAATTCCATGACAGAGTTATAAATTGTAAATAATTTTTTTTCCAGATTTTTCTAGACCTTGCTCTTTGTCTCCTAGCTCTTAAAGTTAACCTGGAGAAGTTGATTACAATTCATAATGTCTCTTTTTCAGACCACAGTCTTTTGTGTATGATCACTTTTTTTTTCTATCTATAAAGTTTTGAGATCTTATTTTTATTCTGAGAGTTCTGATCTAAGATGAACCGTGGTGTAAGACTTTCTCCATGAATTGCATTAGGCCTAAATGAGCCTGTGTAGTCAGTTCTATGGAATTTTCTAGTATTACATCTTTGGTAATTTCTTCCTTTCCAGTGTCTCTGTTCTCTTCTCCAGCTGCTCCTATTATTGGATTCTTAGACTTCCTAGCCAAGCCTCTAAGGCAGTGGTTCTCAACCTTCTGGCCCTTTAAATACAGTTCCTCATGTTGTGACCCAACCATAAAATTATTTTCGTTGCTACTTCATAACTGTAATGTTGCTAACTGTAATGAATCGTAATGTAAATATCCGATATGCAGGATGGTCTTAGGCGACCCCTGTGAAAGGGTCGTTTGACCGCCAAAGGGGTCTCGACCCACAGGTTGAGAACCACTGCACTAAGGTGTTTGTTTGTTTTTAAATTTTATTTTCCTTTTTTTTCTGCTAACATTTTTTATTTCAATGTTATTTCACTAAAAACATTATTGCTGTTACCCCGTTTTCACTTACTGGGATCAAAATCTCTCTCTCAGATACTATTTCTATTTTTTAAAATAACGTTTTCTGCTCCCTTTCTTGTGTTGCTCCTGATTTCTCTTGTTTGGCTTGTTTGCCTTTGTGTCCTGCCTTTCATGCCAGAGCTCGTCCTCAGAGGTGTGGTGCTTCATGACTAGCCACTGGGATCTAGTACAGGCATTGAGAGATTGAAGAGCGGAGGTGGCTGAGGCAGGGGTGTGCTTCAGGAGAGAGTTATCAGGCACATTTCTACCTTTCCTGAACGTCACTACCTAATAGTCATTTCTCTTGGGTCTGTGAGTTTCACAAAAGGACTCCTTTCAGTCTCATGCCTATGGACAGAAGCTTCTGCAAGAATTAGGAGAAGGAAGAGAACATGGTGAGCGAAGGTGGGAGGTCAGTGTGTGTAGACAGTCTCTTAACCCATTTTTAAGTGACACTCACCCTCAGCTGACTCTGGTTTCCCAGTTTTAGAGTCCCTCTGTTTTTTCTGGCTTATCTGTTTTCCAACAAGCATGGGGTTGATCATTTTCCTATATGTTTTGGGAGGGGTGGGGGGGGACTGGATATGAAGTCAATTTCTTCACATAGCTTGACCACTTTGAGGAAATGTTTTGTCATGTCCTTAATTTTAGCTCAATTACTGTCTCTTCAGACTCAGTCCACTTAAATCATCCTTTTCACCAGGGCTCAAGCTGTTGATCCAAGTGTTGGGTTTAGCTTATATCTCATTAAAGCAATAGTATGATTTTGTTAAAAATCATCTGAGTTTCTATCATTCTGAGGGCAGATGCTTTATCTTTTTAACTAAGAATTTCTGGCTTTGCAACAAAAGCCTATCACCTATTTGATACTCAACTGATATTTTCCTTAATATATAGTTGTCTTAGGTTTGATTCTGTCTTATTCTACTTCCTAATGATTAGTCTTGAATATATTTTTTGATACCTCTTGGCCTCTTAACACAATACTTACCTCACAAGGCTCTTTTAAGGGTAAAATTAAATAAAGTACGTGAGAAAGCACCTAGTTAAACTGCAAACTGTTATATAATTATAAGTAGTTTTATTTCTACAAGATACAAGATTAAGGTATTCACCATTCTATTAATAAATAATTATTAAAACTTATAGTTTATTAGGTATTGTGTTATGATTTTTAATATAAATATGTGATAAAGAGAACTACTATTTATTGAACAGCCATCTTATAGTCTATGTGATCAGCCCCTGTCTATCTCTGTTCTTGTCTTCACTCCTTTTTTTTTTTATCCTCACCTGAGAATATGCTTATTTTTAGAGAGAGAGGAAGGGAGAGAGAAAGAGAGAAAAAAACACATTGATACGAGAAACATTGATCGGTTGTCTCTTATTGCGCCCCAACTGGGGATCGAACCCACAACCTAGGTATGTGCTTTGAACGGGAATCAAATCCACAACCTTTTAGTGTACCAGACAATGCTCCAACCAACCGAGCCACCCAGGCAGGGCTTCACTACAATATCTCATTCATTGTGCACTAACTACACTGGTTTCTACATGCTTCTGGGAGATCCCTGTTCAGTCTCACTTCATAGCTTTCCCATTTTCCATTCCAAGTCTCTGGGACCTTCTGTTCCCCAGTCTCCAGAGCTCATGCTCTCACTACATTAAGGTATTCACTTAGATATAATCTCCTGGGGAAGGCCTCCTCACATGAAACTCCATACTACTTTCTATCTCCTTTCCCTGGGTTATTTTTCTTGTTTAATAATTTCTCATCTCCTCATGAGAATGTAAGGTCAACAATACAAATACTTTTTCTGTTTGTTCAGTGTTGTATTTTTAGAACCCAGGTCAATAATTAATATCTATTGTATAAATATCATATAATTATGAGTGTCATGCACTCTTCCAAATGATACATACATGATCTACTTTGATAATAAATCATTTTCACAACAATTTTGTGACCCAGGGTTGATAAAATATGGCATTGTTGCAATGTTAACTTCAATTTTCCCATATAAAAGCATCCTTCATTCATTAGCATTGATTTATGATTCAGTTTTTAGACATGGTTTTAATTATATTGATATGCAAATGGTATGTTAAATATTACAAAGTGATGCCATATGTGTAACTTTTTCTCTTTTTTCCATCAGTAAAATGTCTCTTTTTCAGACCACAGATAAGTATAGGAGTCAATGTGCATTTTGGAACTACTCCCCTGACACCATGAATGGCAGCTGGTCCTTAGAGGGCTGTGAGCTAACGTACTCCAATGAGACCCACACTTCTTGCAGCTGTAATCATCTGACACATTTTGCCATTTTGATGTCTTCTGGTACTTCCATTGTAAGGCAACTTTCTACTTCATATTTATAAATCACCATGTGTTCTTTTTGTGTCATTTAAGAGAATAATTACTTCTTATATATTTTCTTTGGGTGTAAATAGCATATTTCATTAATGGATGAAACTCCAACATTATCTTTTTATAGTCTTTGTTTGTGTTTTTCTTACCTGCCTTCTATGACATATCTAGACTGAACTTTAACTTATTTTTAGTCTAGGACTTATCTAGTCTGTAAATATGTAGTAGATTGTTAAATATTGATGCATTGACTCTTTGTTTTCAATGGCCCCTTTAAAGGCCACTTATAGATTTTAATGTATACTGGACTTTAAGAATTTTTGGCTTTGTATACAAAGTTTATTCTTACAATAAAATGTAGTTAAAATATTTGATACCTGGTCAATAAGAATTAGCACATTCATAACTAATATCATGTTTTAACAGAATCCCACAAGATTTTTAAACATGAAAAATCTCTCTAAGGTGAATAGCTTTAGAATGTGCATGTTATATCAGTAATATCTTGCATTTATATTACATAATATTTTATATATTGGTTTGATAATCTTAATTAGATTATAGGTTCATTTTCACATAAACATATACAAATAAATCTTCCTAACCATAATGTCAGTCATAAAGATGCTTTCTTTTTCTGAATGTTAAGTAAGCAAAGAAACTTCTATTCTGCATATAAAATATTAATATTCATCTAGTTGTAATAAAACCAACCTTTCTCATTTCAAAATCTCTCAACTATACTTGACACTATATGTTCAGCATTTCTAATACCTTTGTTAATGTGTTTTAGATGAATGGCTGCATAGCAATAAGAATTGGTCTTACCACTGATAAATCTGTTTTAATTAACCATGTTCACATTACAATAATGAATTACCATTCTAATATCATGAAACTGATGATGATAACAGTACTAAACCATATACTAATATATACTATGCCTAGAAAAAAATCACTAATTATAGAACTATTAAAGTGCCTCATGATTTATATCACATTCCTCTGAATATTGAGCATTTTCAAGTCATCTAAATGCACATTTGTATTTTTACAGTTTATGGACATTTTGATTAATGTTTCACCAAAAATGAAAGTTCATTATATGGTGTAGTTCCTTTGACAAGTTACTGAGTTATTCTCTTAACAGCTTTATTATTATTTTCCCTTAGGGTATCAAAGATTATAATATTCTTACAAGGATCACTCAACTAGGAATAATAATTTCTTTGATTTGCCTGTCCATATGCATTTTTACCTTCTGGTTCTTTAGTGAAATTCAAAGCACCAGGACAACAATTCATAAAAATCTCTGTTGTAACCTGTTCCTTGCTGAACTTGTTTTTCTGGTTGGGATCAATACAAATTCTAATAAGGTATGTAAATCTCCTTTACTCTCTATTTTTATTTTCTAATGTGTTGTTCCCTATGTATATATGTCATAGAAACATGAATTATAATTAAGGATTTAATGGGCAAACACAATATATACTTTGTCCTTAAGTCTTTTCTAAGTTTAATAATGCTAACATATCTAAGCATCCTGCCTATCCATTTCATTAACTAAAATGTCCTTCATTATGAGGAACTATTGGGACAAATGAAAACTTTGCCACAAAATAAAGAAACAGCCTTTTTGTTTTGTTTTGATTTTACATGGGCATTAAACAAAGGCAGGAGGATAAAACTGGAAATAAAGTTTCTCTTAACACAGGGACTGAACATAAAAGCAGCAATGGTTCATAGGTTGAAATATGATAAATCGGATCTGCCTAGTTACTACACTTTATTAACTATCCACTACCCATTTTCACCATTATTGACCGAGGGCCTTATAGTTTTCCGTATTGTGTTTAGTCTGGGTCCTCCTTGAGACAGACACTAAAATAGAATTAAACATGTAATGCTTTTATTAGATGAAATGACTATGAGAGAAAATCAGAAGAGAGAGACTTGGAGAGCCATCAGACTATGATGCAGGTCTGATCCTGAGTGAAGGAGAGAGGAAAGCAAGTGGGGTGGGTAGAAGCATCTTACCCAGCAGTGCA